ACAATGAACTGTTGTTTGATTTGTACTCACTAGTCATTTACATCAGTGCTTGCATACTGTATCCTTCCATCTTTACTTATCATTAGRTTTCCAGGAATGAATGAATTCTGAAAACAAATGAAATAATACAGTAAATTGTAATCTTGCAAAGATGACGTTTGACTCATTGGTCAAGAGCAAAAGTTATAAAACATGGTCCTGTGGGAAGCCACTAGAAAGTCTAGAAGTGTCCAGGAGGCTCTAATAAATGTTGTTGGCAAATTTTGAACTTGCAGTGGATAGCATAGCATCCCAATTATTGGACATAAAAATTAGAAAAAAATCATTATAGTCCATGACAGCCCTCTGTCAAATCTATCATTTCATCTGACATAATCTTGTTGTGTATTAAACACTTTTAGAGACCTGTACCCCTCTTTGTTTGTAGAAAATCATGAACCTCCCACTATCATTGTAAATGATTCACGTCTTTTGAATGAGAATTATCAAAGATAAATTTTACTGCAGATCAAACCATTTTCAATCCGACTTTGGTATCAATTATCATGTCGTAAGTAGAAAAATTAGATTTGGGCTCAAAACTTGTATGTACCTTTTTATGAAAGTCCAGTTTAGCAAGTAACACTTTAAGGTAGGTTGCTATTAGTATTCCATAACCACCCTTGGGTGATAACTCCTGTATATTGAAAAAATTATTGGTTAGAGACGAGTGTGATATAAAGAATTATACACACCATGGGGTCTGCTAATAAACCTTATATCCTTAGATTTTCTAGATCATGAATAATGTACACAATCTAATAATTCCAAAAAAACTTTTATAGCACTCCATGACAAAATAAAATAAAATAAAAAATATGATTACCCAAAACTTGTGCATGTCTTGTAAAAGTATTYTATATTTGAATGAATCCTCTAGAGCCTGAAAAATAACATGTTTGTGGTCATTGAAAAGAAATGAATGGGCAAACGAATAATTGAATGCATAGATTGATGGAAGGAATGAATGAATGGCTGAAAAAAAATGGATAAATGAATGAGCAATTTATGAATGAATGAAACAATAAATGAAAAAAAGGGAAATATGAACAAACGAATACCTTAGGATGACCTTCTCTCAAGAGTTTATGYACAACAAACATGGCTTTCCAACACATGATCACTTGAGATGGTAGCGGCATTTTACCRAGGCATGTCCAGAAGATAGATGCACCGTGGTCTTGCCATGTCCCAATAATAGCACTTGCAATGGAATTAAGGTCCACATAACATGMATTATAAATCTCTTCCAACATGTTCACAAAGTTTTCTTGGCCATGTTTCACATCACACAATGTCAACTGGTTTCCTCTATTTTTTTAGCTCTCAGTTTTTATTTTTTATTCATGTCCTTTTTTTGGAAAGGTGGCCAAAGTGATTTTTTGATCTACAAAAATTGCATTATTTTGTAAAATTTAATCATTTAATACAATATTCAAATCCACTAAGGATCAAACCAACATTGTTAAGACACTCATTTCATATAAACTATCCTTGARGTTTTTTATATTTAAAATGTTGTGTTGTATTTCTTCAAGAAATAGAAAAGCTTAACTGAAAATCTCTATCTGGGAGGAATTTCGGTTTCCCATATATGGAAGATTTTCATGTGTCAATGATATTACTCATATCTAAAAAATTTAAAAGGATATTTCTGACATGTTTCTCTTTCACTGGTGTTTCCACAGGGTTGCAGGCTTTTGCAATGGCTTCTGCCTAAAAAAGGAACATAAAAACAAAATTTGCTCAAATGATAAAAGCATACAAAAGAAAATAAAAGAAAATTGAAAGGTGAAAGAAATAAAATAAAGAATGAATGAAGGAGAAAAATTTAGAACTAAATCAAATGCAAAAAGGAAAGAATGTTAAGAAAAAACGAGAAAATTTGCTCCACAAGAGAATCAGGGCAGCAATTGTATAGAAAGTAGCTTTTGAAACGGTCATATGAGGCCAAAGAAAAATTCTAAAATTAGGCTGAGAATCACGTCACATTTACGTACATGATTTACACGTACATTCACACAAGCAAGTACTTTTACAAATTGTTCAACAATCTTAAACAGAGTAACAAGACAGCCCAATAATTAAACAAACATTGCTAAAAACTCGGAATAATGACAGGAAATGAAGTACCCAATTTGTCAAAGACACTATGACGTAAATCTATGGCTTTTCATTACAAGTCACATAACTTAAAGCTAATCTAAAACCATATTATGAAAAATATTGAATATCTAAAACACTTTATCATGTACACAAATACGAGAAAAGAGTAATAGAATATCAATATTACAGCAATTAAAAGCCTTGCTTGAAAAAAATGGCCAAAAAAATCAAGCTGAATTAATCCCAGATCATTTCGCGCCGTTTTGTAATGTCGCTGTATTTATCTGCGGTAATGGTTCGTACACAACGWATTTTTGTATTATCTACTRTTATGATTGAAGTAAATTAAGATACCTTTCAATATTTGAGGTATTTCGTGTTCGCATATCATTTAAAATCGAAGAAAGCCGGGGTTTTAAGTGTTTACAATAATTTATTGTTGATTCATTGACCGACCTCTCAGCTTAACTCAGTCAAAATAACACGAGCAAAAGTTACCCATTCCAAATAAAAATAGGTTCTAGGCATGGCTATGCTACAATTCTACTCAATATCTCTTGAAATTATGCATTCCGTTCACTGTTTTCTGATAGCCAAGCGATAAAACCACAATACCCGAAGTGCGGTGACAAAACTTAGAAAGAAGATCGATTTTTGAGTATCGAGAGCTTACTTGATCTTTTTCTAACTTTTCTCTCTCTGTTGCTGGTCCAGGTTTCTTGAAAGAGCCCAGAGAAGGTAGCTGTGAAGCCATTTTTTTGGTGTGTCCAGTTTAAAATGAGTCAAATTTAGTCATTCATGCCGAAATAAGATTGGCTCAAACTGAGTTTTCACCAGCGTGGAATCCAAAGGACGCTGATCAACATCTCACTTCTCTCAAATCGGGAAAACCACTACAATGCATTGTGGGAGTTTAGTGAGCTGCTTGAAATTATTTTATTTTTTCTTTTCATTTGTTGTTGTTGTTGTTGTTGTTGTTGTTGTCGTTGTTGTTGTTATTGCTTTATTTCATTTTTTATGTTACAATCTGATTGAGAATCTACACTAAAAAATCTAAATGTTTACTCCGACGAAGGATTAACGTCCGAAACGTCAGTAAGTTACTTCCCCTACTTTTTTACGGTGTTTAATTTATCTTTTTTTATACAACTGTAAAAATCTAATGGTGTTGACATACGCCCAAAAGGCCACCTCCTTTCCCAATATGAAGGCCAAGGAAGGCCAAGCAAATTGAAGCAAATGGTTTACTGCAATATGGAAACTACAAGGGGATGCTGGTAATTTCAAATGGAAAATGTTTTTACACAACAAAAGGACTGATGATAYGCAGAATTTTGCGATTGATGTTCATTACGCAGGTTCTACAAAGCATTCTTGTCTGTCTGTCCATCAAAAGATGCCCACTTCAATCATTTCGATGTTTTAACGTGCGTGTTTAGTTTCGGTCACGCGTCACGCAGCATCTATGGAGATAGAGGTTTCGTGGCGCGTGACCAAAACTAAATACGGCTGCGAGGGGACTACAATTCTTGCCTTTACAAATGTCTAAACAAGTGTCGGACCCTATACTTTTCGACCAATTTASCCTCGAAATCGTTGTCGAAATCAGCGTTATAGGCCGGGTCTCAATGGGTTAACCGTGAGCCGTGAAACGGCTGAAAAATTAGCGGTGAGTCGCGAAAATGCGAAAATTAGCCATTTTTGTAAATTTAAATAATAGAAGTTTTTAGTGGAGATTTTTCAAAATTTTGCCTTGCAAGAATTTTCTTTCTGTCCGTTCAGGAATTGTTTTCCCTAAATCTTTCACTCTTCCACCCCCWYCCCCTCAAAATCCCAACGGGATCGCACCTACCAACAAGGCAAGGTCCTGCAGACAAGTCAGGGCATGGACAAAATTTGACATTTGAGAGTGATGATAAACGTTATAATAACTAAGTGTCTATAACTCTGTGCTCCCACACTCACTATCTCTAGCACAAAACAAATTAAGAAAAAGCAATGAAAAACGTATTTCAAAAATTTCCAAAAGTAATCTAACCGTGTTTCGAAAAWTTTTTTAGCCGTGATGAGTCGTGATGCGTACCACCCCATTGAGACCCTCCTAAATGAGCGGTACACATGTACAGACAAAATCTCCAAAACAAAACTACCACTCATTTAGTATGTTAGTACTTCGAAGACTTTGAGCGGGAGCCGATCATATAGCCACTTCGTAGGAAAAAGTCGGTTCTCGGGAAAGAGCCAAACACAAGAGAGTGACAATAATTCTGCAAAAAATAAATAAATAAACAAAAAAAGAAGATAAACAATAAATAAAATAGAAATGAAAATACACAATCATTAAACGTCTCGCCCAGGGAATCGATCCCGCTACCGTCAAACYTACATTGGATTTGCAAGCAGCGCCTTAACGCGGTGCGCCAGTGGACCACTTCATTTACATAATAATAGACCACTTCACACTTTCACCGAATAGACTACCCCAATTTGACATTATACTTTCGATAGTTGCCTGGTTAGTGCAAGGGGTTATCCATCAGTGTCTAGGGGCCGGATAGCTTCTCCCTCACTGGCTTTTTAGTTAGCGCGAAGTTAGGACCAATTATCGGGATAGCATGGAAGAGCCGAAATCTCTAACCGGAATGTAAATCGATTCGCCGCCTCAGCTTCACAGAATGTCTCGGGGGAATTGTCCCAACCTTTTTTCGATTTTATGGTCATGGGTTCGAATCTCACGACTCAAGTTTTTTCTTTTTTCAGTCTTTTTTCTTTTTCCTTTTTTTTTTTTTTTGCTTTCTGTTGTTGTCTTTGATTAGCTTCCTACATTAATGTTTAATTACAATATCTGCATAATCATTTAGTAATTACTTCTATATATTTTCTATAATGTGACATTTTAAAGCGCGCTTTCATTGGCTTGTTTTCATTGAACGTAYAATAAGTTTTCACAGCGCGGCGATTGCGCAACCGAGAATCAATTTTTAAGAGTGGCCGAGTTATGTTTTCTATTCGTACGGACNGAGGAGAAAGATTCTATGCTTTCAATTAACGAAACTGTATTTTGTTTAAACTCGTAAAAATACGAGAAAAACTTACCCGTTTCTTCTCCATTGTACCCGTTGGAACTTTCCGTGTAGTTGGCACTTTACAGCGTGAAAACGCGTACCGCTTCCCGGGTAAACTCGATGACGTCATCATTTAACTAATTCAAAATGGCGATACCCGTACCCGTGTCCTGAAATCGTTGTATCTTAAGCTCTCTATTGATAGGAGCATTATTTGGTTGAGTATTCTCCACTGAAAAGAATACTTGAATTATATGGCTCTTTTATATGTGTATGTACAATGTAAAATGTCCTAAATTTTAGTGAAATGTCAGATAATAAAGATCCATACAACTGAGTAGCGAAACCTCCCATTGTAGATGCAGCCTACGGGCCATGGATTCTTGATCCTTCTAGGTTTCGCGTGGGATCCCTATTCTTTTTGCCTGGCCGGGCTGCGAAGGAATGGTCGAATATGGCTGACAGTTTGATTTCTCCGTACTACTCTACACCCTCTGCAATTTCCAAGTTTGTACAATAAAATGAGGTAAGATTAAAAGGATGGATGTGCAAACACAAACTTTTTAGCACAATTAGGTTATGTACGTTTAACAATTTCTTGTAGGAAACCTACAAGAAACCTTTTAAGGTATTGACACCTATTCTCGGACACTTTCACTAATTGAAAATATCGCAGTGCGTTTTTTTTATCATTTAGAACTGCAAACGTATCTTTTATACTCTCTAATGCTTGTATAATAACATTTTAGAATATCATGTTATAAATAAATAAACTAGAGGACTTTTTCAGGCCTATACTTCATAAACCTATTCTCGGGCAGTATAACCTATTCTCGGGCAGTGTAACCTATTCTCGGGCAGTGTAACGCTATTCTCGGGCAGTGTAACGCTATTCTCGGGCAGTGTAACCTATTCTCGGGTAGCTGTTACCTATTGTTGGGCAACTCAAAAAACTTGAAGAAAAATGCACCGAATTTGACTAAAAAACACACTAAAAATCATTATAGTTGTACGAGGCAATAATTCAGCTTAATATAAATACAATTTAAGAAGTAATTCTTTAGCACAACAACAACATACTGTGTGAAAACAAATGAATTTTATGTGACAATATAACCAATTTCATTTTTCGTGAGATAAATTGTTTTTTTAGCAATTTAGCGAAAAAGCGGATTAGATAAGTTATAAGATATTGTGGGAAGGGACTGTTGGAGATGTATGAGGGCTTGGTGGGGCTGCTATGGAAACCATCGAAGTACTGTATATATACTACTCTAWGGAATCCACTAAACAGGCTAGTTTAGCCCTGAAGCGTTGATATCATTTGTTTAATTGTGCTACGTTGCACTAATTTGAATCAAAATCATGGCGAGGTTTCGAACTATGTGTATTATGAAGATATATTCGAGTAAAATATAAAACGGCAGCAAACAATAATTATTTTGACAAGCAATATAAAAACTAACGTCAGTAGTACATAATCTTTCATAACTAAGAAGAATTGACGAAAAGTCTTTTCCTGATTCACGTGATTGAGTCAAGTGTTCGCTAAAACTTGGAAATGCCGACACTTCTCCGCGGCCTACAATGAAGGAGGACAACATATATACACAACAACTCCMGAATAATAACCGATATGCGATTATTACTGGATTTTAACTTCACAAGTGTCAAAACCAACTCCCCTAATTAAGTATTCAGAGGATCAGTGGGCCGTTTAGCTTATTAACCAATAGAAGAGCGTCTTTAGTAATCAAATTTGAAAATTTAACAGGTATTTTTGTGGTTTCATCTGGTGTCTTCACGACAACGATCACCGATACCAGTCCACACAGGTCTTGCCTTTGAAAAACTGAAATAACTTGAAAATATTATAAATCAACTGCTTCAATCACAAGATTTGTAACGTTGGTTCTCACGGGGGCCGATTGCTTTAGGTTTTCTGGACGTCGAAGTCTTTAATAGACTTCAAATCAAAGRCCTTTTWCTTAAGGTTGAGGAGTGTTCTTTCCAACATGGCRAGATCAAATGGCAACTCGATCGTTAACACACGGCTGTTTCTAATATCAATAGTCCTTGTTATAGCCATTGGAGGAATGACATTATTTGTCTGTACAGCCGTGTTTTCAAGCTCAGAGAAAGACGTTTCTTTATTCAAAAGAGCAGCTTTTTACATTAAAGATAATGTACAGTCGACCATCAAATCTTCCGTGGCAGGTATTAAGAAGACCTTCATCAGAGAACAACGATCTGATTCTGAGGAATTTCCTTGGAAAGACATTCGGCTACCAAAACACATTGTTCCAGTTACTTACAAACTTCACTTACAACCAGATTTGAGCAAGACTTTTGACTTYTCTGGAAAAGTTTCAATCGATGTGCAATGCGTAAAACCRACTAAATATGTTATCCTTCACTTCAAAAAGTTGGACGTCAAATCGTTCAAGCTYCAAGATTCAAAGAAAAAATACGCTAATATCTCAAGGATTCTCAAGAACGAAAAACACGAGCAAATTCTTATGGAATTGCAAGATGAGCTAAAGATGAGCAAGTATTACACACTGAAGTTGGAGTTTACCGGGAAACTCTCCAACAAGATGGCGGGCTTTTACAGGAGCTCATACAAGACGAAGGAGGGAGAGACAAGGTAAGAACATCATGTCGCGAAAGACATTAACAATCTAGAATCATCAAAACATATAGTTTTCACGGTATTAAAAACGTTCAAAAATTCATCCGCTTTGAAACAGAAGCATATTTGACCATSTACCCTATGATCAGGTAATGGACGTTTTTGGAACGAATTCCTATCAAAGCGGTTTAGCTGTCATTATGGTATAAAAAAAAAAATTTAACGTATAAACATAAGTAGTACATATCTAAAAAGTAGCTGGAAAAATTTCCTGGAAAATTCTATACCAGTCAAAAATCTCTATCTTTATACCAATCAAAGTCAATAAACTCCATTGCCAATATAGACTAACAGGGAAACTTCCACCAAAACTGAATGATCAAAAGAAGTATCACTCCGACGTTTTAACACCAGTCTCTAATACAGCCGATATCGCAGACCGTTATGAGAAAATCATAGATACATATAGATTTAGATATGATATCCATGGGTTAATATTAATATATTTTCCAGGTACTTAGCAACTACTCAGTTCGAGTCRACTGACGCAAGAGCTGCTTTTCCATGYTTTGACGAGCCAGAGTTCAAAGCCATCTTCCATATAACCATGAAACACAAAAAGAATTTCCGCGCCATTTCTAACATGCCTATCCAAGAGCGCAAAAATGTTGAGRACGACTTTGTCGAAAGTAGTTTCAAACCTACAGTCAAGATGAGTACATACTTGGTCGCATTTATTGTCTCTGACTTTAAAAACACTGAAACCTTCACCAGGAAAGGAGTTAAGGTAAGTTCAGTTCAGTTCTCAAGCTATATAACAGTCTTTWCATGGCTGCAGGGCTGCAGTTGTCGATGACAGCGCCACTCTCGGCCSTTCAGTAGAAATATGAAGCTACGGCAAAGTCCAAGGCAAAACTTGGTTGTCTATATTGGAATGCAAGAAGAAACAAATCAAATTTGAAACATTTCAATTTCACGGACTTCTAAAAAATGCCATAAAACTATTGTAGTAAGCGCAACTAGCATGTTGCCAACTAAACTGGGTGTGGTAACACATGGTCTCTTCTTGACCATTAGATTGACAAGCGGTACTTACGTGCAATGGTGTCTTACTGATTTTTTTTTCTTTCCTGACAGGTACGAGTTTGGGCGTCCGAAGACAATGTCCCACACACTAGATTTGCACTGACTGTGGCCGAAAACGTTTTGTCTTATTACGAAGACTTCTTCAAAATCAGTTATCCACTGCCCAAGATTGGTAAGAGCTGCTGGATGTATTTCCGTTCACTTAATTGGCTTTAAGGCCGAATTAGACGGCGCAAAGTTTKCCTACAACCATCGCTTAAAGTCTTCCTTGCAGCACTGGTTGCAGAATCTCTACGATCATTGCAGTCATGTTGTCATCAAAGCGAGTTTTATTATTCGTTTTGACTGCGCATCAGTTGGAAACTGACTTTTAACTTTAACTCCGCACAGATCTTGTAGCTGTACCCGACTTTGCTGCTGGCGCAATGGAAAACTGGGGACTAATGACTTTTAGAGAAACATATCTCCTTAGTAACCAAGCCTCGTCTAGCGCCGCTGACAAACAAGATGTRGCCATTGTGGTGGCTCATGAACTGGCTCATCAGGTTTGTAATTTGATTTGAAACTTGTTTTTGGTTGCGTCCRCACTCACCCGGAKTAGACTAAAAYCTTGTTAGTTTTGWTAGTCCCATTGCAGCTTATGGGATGCGTCTCATTCTGTAGAGAACAAAACAGTGACAAGATGTAGCAAAAATTCGGCTTTGTCCATATGCCGGCCAACTATTGGTTGAGAGAAAGAAAAGAACGAATTGCGCACGCTTTTATTTAGCGACGTGAGCTCTTAGTAAGAAAAAGCGGATTTCCTGTGGTTTTACGTCACGATCCTGTGCCTCGCAGCAAAACTGTGATACAAGACTGTGACAGACTGTGATACAAGACTGTGACAGACTGTGATACAAGACTGTGACAGACTGTGATACAAGACTGTGACAGAGGTACGGGATCATGACGCGACGAAATACCACAGGCAATCCGCATTTCACTTAAATCGCGCGCCGATAAATATAAAAGCGTGCGCATCTTGTTCTTTTCTTTCTCTCAAATGCAACAGTTTGATGGCCTATGCTTTGTCCCCCAGATAATGCTAGGGGTCTAGATCTACAGAAAGAAGTTGTTTCAGATCGATCTGCAGTCAACTTGAAATTTTTATGACTCAAACAAACGAACAACATCGATCTCCACCACAWTGATKGTATTGTTTTCATTTTTAGTGGTTTGGAAACTTAGTAACCATGAAATGGTGGAAYGATTTGTGGCTWAACGARGGCTTTGCTAACTACGTTGAATACATCGGTACAGACCATTATGCTAAGCGATGGAGAGTTGTAAGTACTGGTATTGTGATATGATGGCTTTAAAAAGATCACTCGCAATGCGGACTTTATTGCGCATGCTCCAGTATGACTCCCGTCTTTATACCACATGGCTTAGAAGCTCTTCTCAATATTGAATATTGCAGTTGAAAAGTCGATATAGACGAACATGCGCATTCGCCTCCAAACTCTTTATTCCGGAGCTCCCTCCTAAGTAAATCGGTTCAACAGACTATTTTCGATAGCTATTTCTGTTATTCAGCAAGTTTACCTCAAYTTCTTCYACAGCTTGACCAGTTTGTAACAGACACACATCAAACAGCGTTACAAATCGATAGTATGAAAAACACACATCCCATCTCGGTTCCTGTGACTAAYCCAAGTGAAATCACAGAGATCTTTGATGTCATCTCTTATAATAAGGTAAGAGAGACTTTGGGTGTTCAAGTTGATAAGTCATGGTCTTTGTTTMAATGAACATATAGAAAGTCAGAGTACGCAATACTTATTTTGCAATGCTGATAGAACTAGGCGGCTRTTAGTTTTGTTGTGTTAAAAGGAAAAGAAAGGYATGTAATAGGCAAATGAGCAAACGCAAGCGCATGATGAAATMTGYAAAGGARAAWAGTTGTTAGCGCTCTCAGCAGGCCCTTAAACGATGCATAACGTTCTATCATGCATATGCCTTCCATTTCATGCAGAACTGATTTTTCAGTTTTAATTCTAATGTGATTTTTTGTTTTAGGGTTCTTCTGTCATTCGTATGTTGAAAGGTTTCTTGGGAGACAAAGCATTCAAAAAAGGTTTGAAGGTAAAAGGAACACTTGAGATTTTTGTATGGAGGAGGGGAAGGGAGGTAATCACAAAAATCATTCGCCGACTAAACCATCGATGTGATGGCCACAAACTCCCACGTGAAGTGATTGGACCTTCTTAGTAAACTGTTTGCAACTAACATGGGTATCGTTTCTCACAGCGTTACTTGAACAAACATGAGTACGSGAACGCAGAAGCAGACGACTTGTGGCACGCACTTAGTACAGTAAGTGAATTATCTTGCTATGAGCCTCTTTGTCGAATCTCATGTGCCAAAATCAATGAAAATCATGTTTGAAGTCTTTTTACATTCATAAGGAAATAAAACGCAGTGTGGACGAGCCTTACAGATGACAGCAACTGAGATTTAAGCTGTTGTTCCGCGCACGTATAACACTATGTGTTTGTGTTGCAATATGATGTTTTTGAAACCTTCAAAGCTATTGAAAACATGGCGCCCGAAAGTAAACTGGGCGTAAAAATTCAGTGCATTTTTTCATTTTCGCGGGGGGTATCTTCTGTTGAATGTAAAAAACAGGAAGCCCAAAGTCTTGATTTTTCATTAGGTGTCCAATGGACTCAACGTCAAAGCTATCATGGACACGTGGATCAAGCAAGAAGGATATCCAGTTGTTACCATCATGGATTCAAAGAGAATTGCGAGGTCACCAGGAAAGAGGAGAAAATTCGTCCAACAAAACAGATTCTTCAGAGATGTCAAGCCTTCAGACAAAAACTATCAAGACGAGATTAAAGGGTGAGAATTAATGCTACGGGAATGTACTTATGTTTGAATAGAAAAACATCAACAAGTCAATAGTTTTTGTATGAACAGAAAGGATAGAATATGAGAAGACAGGACATTAAAGACGTGAGAAAAATTATAATGTGTACAAGAAGAGAAAGAAAATGAAAACGAAGAATCGAACTGAAACAAGTGAGAAAAGAAAAGAACAGGGATAAAATTAGAGAAAAAAAAAATAGAAAAAAAGGATAACCAGATTATATGATTTCAGGTATAACTGGATTGTACCTCTCACGTACGTAACCGCTGACAATCCCAAGTCGTCCAACACTTTGTGGATGAATAAAAGCTCAGGTAACATCACGTATTTTGAAGCCAACTATTGAAAAGAGGTTCTGTCTGTGCACCAGTTAAACATGATTTTCAAGCCATTAAAAATCAGAGAAGACTGATATKTACCATGGGTAGAGAATATCAATAAAGATGTCAAAATGAAGCTTTCCAGCAGACGGGTTGCGAAAGTGTTGTCCATCACGATACTTTGAAATGTGCTTTTTCACGTCATCGTACATTTTTTTCGACGTCTATTTTTCCTTTTTTGYTCACCCCTCCCCCCTTCCGTTTTCCCCCTTCCCCTCTCCCCTAGAGCAGCTAGCAGACTATCCAAAACAGTGCATTAGTATAATACCTAAACACAGCTAATGCGATTAATTTATGACAATATAATAGCTGCCATCGATATTGCTACCGGAAGTAAATGGATCAAAGCCAACATTGGTCAAATGGGATACTACCGAGTTAACTATGACACATTAAACTGGAAAAACCTGATAAAACAATTACARGACGACCATATGGTGAGACTTTTAAGATATGAAGAGGATAAACAGCGTTTATAAAATGAATTGTTCATAGACAGTGGGCTGGACAAGTGAAAGAGAATTTAGTCCTTATGTTTTTACGTTGTTTCCCATTTAACTTCATCTCAATAACTTTACCAATGTTGATATTCAGGTACTTTCAGCAACCGACAGAAGTGGTTTACTTGATGATTCGTTCAACTTAGCGAGGTATAAAAAGCAATACGCATCTTGTAGACTCGTACAGCACAGGCTTGCTTTGGCGTCTGTCTTCGATACGTWAAGGTGTTYGTTTTTTAGAGGTGTTCGTATCATAGGGATGTCTTTATTGTAGTGAAAACAATGTTAGATTTCGAACTTTCCGTATTATTCACAGTACTCCTCGTTTTCTCGGGAGTTTTTGGGACTGTTGTYAGTGTTGGTGTTAAAAACAATTCTTCTAAGTTTCGTAACGTTATATATGGTGCAGTACTTCTTAAATCTTCTTCTTTTCTTTATCTTCTCAGAGCTGGATACATTGACTTGAAATTAGCCCTCGAATTCACGTCTTATTTGGACAAAGAAAAGGACTACATTCCTTGGTCGTCTGCTCTAAAGAATCTGGGATACATTGGTTCTATGTTCAGTATGAAACCTGTTTACAGTGACTATGAGGTTAGTAAGYCCTACCCCCTCCACCCCTCCACCCCTCTAACTTTACAGTTGGCGACTGAGCACTGGAAACGATTAAAACTATTCTTGTCAGCATCAGCCATTTTCACATGGCTGACTGGCACTTTTCGCATCGACATTTTGCATGCTTTCATCGTGAGCGAAAGTTTTGAGGACATATGTGAATAAGCAATGCCGGCACGACGCACATTGTGTGCTCCGTTGAATTCTATTTGGACTTAAATCATTCTGTTAAATTTGAACTTTGTTCACAGAAATACATGAATGCAAAACTAAAGCCTTTGGAGAGCTACGTTGGATGGAAAAACGAAGGAGACGTCTTGAAAATGTGAGTAAATCAAGTTCTATTGAGATAATTTCGTGAACACATATGTATTAGGTCGTGTGATGTAAGGTAAGTGTGAATTATTATGGGATTACGAAAGTTTGAAGTGCTTCACTGAACATCTTGATACACGGGCCTAATTGAAGAAACAGTACTGTGAAATTTGGATCAGATTTGCCTAAACATTTTTACATAATAGTATTACTTAAAAAGAAGGAGTCTTTTTGTCCAGGGCTGGTAATCTATTAACAATGAAGCAATGTTATTTTTGTATTATTTGCTTTCCCATGCTACCTTTCGGTCTCAGCTTTCCTGAAGCCATTTTAATCCTCAACCAGCCAAGTATCTTTTGTTTTATCACGAATACGGCTCGTTTATTTCATTATTTTTTTTGTGTAATTTATACATTCACCATTTTGATACTCCATCAATACCATGATGCACTTTGGTAGAACAAACATGACGTYATAAGGAAAAGGGACCATAGAAAGGTGTTTTAAATCGAGGCGTCAGTCAGGTCGAAAGATGGCTGATGTTTTTTACCCAAATTTCTTAATCCAGGTATTTACGAAGCAACGTTCTATCAAGTCTTGCYAGCCATGGCGACAGAGAGGTAGTYGGTATATGCAGGAAAGGATTTCACCAAATGATGAAAAATGAAAGGTGAAGACTTGTTGTATATATGACCTATGCTATTTGCTGTATTTAACATACGTATTTCGGGCTTTGTTTGTTTTCTATAGCTATACCATTGGTACTCACATACGCGGCGTAGTCTACCATACAGCAATCAAATATGGAGGAGTCAAAGAATGGGAATATCTATGGAAAAAATACAAGAAATCCATTGACCCTACAGAGAAATCGCGTATGCTGAACGCACTTAGTGGCACAAAAGAAATTCCTCTACAACAAAGGTAACATCAAATGTCACACGTGTTTCGAACGTCAAATCTCGCGTCCCAATTGAATTCAAATAAGATGCGAACAGTATGAGAAGTACATACCTACATAACTTAAACAATGATAAAGAGCACTGAGAGAGTAATTTGCACTGACTTTTTTTACATGTGAGATACGAGGTTTGAGACTAGGACTGACATACACAGCAAACATTAGATCCCAGCAACAACAACAGCCATGACAACGACAACAAACACAACAACAACAGCAGCAACAACCATAACAGTAATAACAACGCTTGGAAATCATATTTGTTGTGGTTCAATTCAATATTAGACTTTATTGCTTGTAATTTCGGTTCATTCGATTCAGGTCGGGTCGGGTCGAGTCGTGTCTTTTTACCTACTTCACAATATTCTTCACTTGAATTTATATGATACACTTATGTTTACATAGAGTGATGCAATCGGTTGCATCACTCACGCTTATATGTCAAAACTATGTGATAATGCATGCGAGACTAAACAATATTTCTATCAAGCTGTTTAAATACAACTTACATTCCACGTTTTTTATGAAAGATTCCTGGACAACACTTTGGATGAGAAGAAAATTCGCGCCCAGGACATCACGAGCGCTCTTGCAGGAATAGCCGCCCATCCGTACGGGAGACTGATAACATGGGATCACTTCAGAAGGAATTTTGACAAAATCATTGACAGGTATGTGAAAAGACGATCTCTGAAATGCGCTATCAAAATATCGCGGGAGCGCGCCTGAAAACGCGGTAGTTTGCGGAAAAAAGCGACCTAGGAAAACTGCAAAGAAAATACGCGCGCGCCCGCGATGTTTTTGAAAATGCCCGCGTGAAACTCACCAGGTCTTTTTTTATATATGAACGGACATTGATCATAATTATATTTTCTTGACAGAGTTGGTAAGGATCCCATGGAAATGGGTTATATGTTGACAGCTGTTACTAGAAACTTTAATGACAAATTCCATTTGAAACAGGTAAGTATTTCACAAAGAAAATAATCCACTTCTGTAGTTTTGTTTACATTTTTCGGTTCAGGATTGCTGGATGCTGTTACACGTGGTTTCTTTACATTCATTTCTTGTTTTTTTAAACAGGTTGAAGATTTCGTCGAGGAACACAAAGAGCTTCTCGGTTCATTGAGAGCAACTAAGAAAGTCGTTGAAGGCATCAAATCCAACATTGCCTGGATGGACGCCAACGAAACACCAGTCACCGAGTGGCTTGAAGAGAAAGTGAAGAAAATCGAGAAATCGAAGAAAGCCAAGGCATAATCAACGGTGTACATTTACCAATAGTAGCTTATGACTGCAGAGCAGCTCTAAGCAAAGCCAACCGATGTATTACGTCAAATGTTTTTATTATTGCTATTTATTGTGGCTTTCAATTAATAGTTCCTAATTCGTATCTCGCTCCTTCTTAGTCAACTAAAATAATTAATAAATAAATATWTATTTGTTTATTTTAGTCCACTAAAATCATTAAATAGCGCATTTGATTTAGACGTCGCTTCAAAACTCAGTCTTCTCTCCGTCAATGTGTTTTGCATTATGGTGGATAACACAGACGACTTTTTCATACGAAGTATTATAAGAAGTAGGAGATCACGCAGAGTATTGTTGCAATGAACATGTGAGATGCGACGTATAAATCAATTGCTGCACCATTGCCGCATGTATTATTAAGTTGTATTTTTTTTCAACATTAAATCTAATTGATGTGAAATGTATTCGTCACATGTGAAGGTCGGCGTATAACCTGAGCCTAAGTATGCTACTTTCTAAGGATTTTGTCGACATCGACTCAACAATATACTTCTACGTATGTATAAATACATCTATTTTTATACTTAGTTATGCTTTAGACATAGGGCACGTGWATTCGCCCTGAAATGGGCCATGTAAATGATCAATACGTCATGTATTAAGATTATCGATTAAAACTTATATATACCAATACAAATGTGATTGGAGCTTCTCTGAGACATGAGGGAAGGTTATGATTGGAGCTGTTGTGAGACATGAAGAGCAATGCKCAGCGATGCCATTTTGTGCAACAAAGTATGATGGGAGGTGTAGTCCTTCAGACTCTTCAGAAAGTCGTTCTTTTTCTTTTCACAAATTGTGAAGCAGCTGTGCGATTCTACTTAAGCAAACGCAAAAAAGGCGATAAAAAGTGAGAAGAGCACAACTCAAATCATACTCTGTTGTGCAAAATGGCATTGGCGCCTTATCCAGCCAAACCGATAGCACAATGGGTCTTGGGGAAGACTCTCCTATTGAAGAGGGTGGGTATGCTTACAAAAATCATGAAAATTGAGTACTAGAAAAAGAGCACGCGGTAGTGACAAAATTTCACTATACAAAAACGTTCACGGTTGGTTTCTTATATTAATTAATGCTAAAAGACATCTGCTGGTATTGGTCGTCATAGGGATAAAAACTCTTAGTATTCAATCACCTTGTTATATGGTCCAAAACTCTGATTACAGACAAAGATCCTGCGAGCACCCCATCCAGGCGTCGCCCGGTGGCAAAAAGATAATAGTAAACAACTGGCATGTCTAAGTGTTAACAAAGTATTTAAATGTGGATGGTGCCATCCAGTGTAGCGCAAGGCTTCCCACATACACCAACTCTCTACGAAATCAGTTACGCGCGACGAGCCAATCTCCACAATCCAATGTCTCATCCCCCTTAAKCCCCCTAGCAGCGAGTTCGAGATCGAGTACGAGTTTTAGAATTTTCTTTGTGTCATCATTAATTGTGTCCCTGGAAATAAGTGAAACACATATACATACAAACAAAAAATAAAATAAAATAATAAAATAATTTAAGTGAAAACTGAAATCTAGGTAWGATCAACAACTCTCTGAAATCCATTTTTAAAACTCTTACTCGTACTAAAACTCGCACTCGTTGTCAAAATCATAAGTTAATGATTCTTAGGAAGAATCACTTGGAGTCTTAATACTTTGTCCGAGAGCTGAGTGCCGAGGAGTGAGCCTTTCAATTAGCCATATAGATGTTTCAAAGGTCACACATCATATAAAACAATAGCATTTCATGTCAATAATCAAATAATTTACAAAATAGAGTCCATTCTTATAGTATTACAATTCAACAATAGCTTAATAGTAAATAAATATGATCAAATGTATTTATGGGCTTTTCAAGAACCCATGAAAATGAGTTTTCAATTCCAGGACTTTTCAAGGATTTCAAGGAGTAGCGCGAAACCTGTTTACAAAATCAATACATAAGGCCAGTTGTATTTGTTTTGCCTGTTTTAGGTCAGCACTTGCTATTCATGCACACATATATTTTTGTCAGTACACAAATTAGAAATTGTCATGTAAACATGCAGCCAAACTGATAGAAAACATCACTATGTGAACACACCAYTAGAGGGCTCCTTTTTCCTTTTTCACTATAGCCAAATAAGCCTAGAAGAGCATGTTTGTTACATGACAGTCTCAGAAGTTTGATAAAGTGAATGCCCTTAATCTGTGAACCCCTTTGTCTTCCATGTCCAACCAACACTATTTAGTAGTAATTTGTAACACCTTTCACAGATTTAGTGCATCCGCTCTATCAATATTAAATTACACAAGTTATACATTATTCATTAGTAAGACTTTACATTCTACTAATAATTTATTATGCTACAAATCTCAAAACAAGTTGCAAAAATATCAAATTGTCAATATTGACATATTCTATCTTTTTGATATTGCTTTTTTTTGGTGAAATCAGTCAACCTTGCCACCTATATAAAATAAAATGTACATATTATAGCACACTAGTATATAGCTGTAGGATAAATGTATCCAATGTAAATAAGGTTATTGAGTGTGTAGTGTACAACAAAGGTCGTTGTAGCTGTTGGAGCATGTTTTCTCAGTAAAGCAATCTTTGCTATGCACTACTTGTAGATAATTTGAAACCAGTTTTTCAATGCCTTGCAAGAAATTACAATAATATTGGCCTATTGTCCTGAGCAAGAACCAATAATTCTTCATGTGGCAACAAGCAGTCCACATTTCCTAACTGCAATAAATAAATATCCATTTGTTGAACAGTAAAAGGTCAGCCCTGACGATATTCCTGGTGTCACTGCTTGTCAGAAACAACCATTAGAAATAAAAACTTATTGAGGTTGGTATTCCTGTGGTTCATCAGGATGAGCGATCCTGGTAACTGATGCCATTAACAGAATCAAGTGCGAAGGTATTGCTGTAGTTCATCAGATAGAGTGATTCTGGTATTCCATCATAGATCATAATAAAGATTAGAACAGCAAGCCATTGAGCTAAAATGGTTTAAGGGATCCACCCATAAAACAAAACAGTAAGGTTGGTATTCCTGTGGATGACACATAAGAGCATGCTTGGTACCTAGGCTAGCGCCCAGCACCTTTCTTCTCACACGTTGTGATTGTAATATTTTAAGACACAGCTCTACTGTACACCTTTACTTGGAGGTAGTTTTCTAGCTGAACGAAATGACATAACTCGAAATGAAGCTTCAAATGGCAATGTTCTCTTTCCATTCTTAGGCTTCCCATCAGTACTACTATATTTTTCTTTGTTTGGCTTATTTTCAAACAATGCAGCCCTGTTTTGGTTTGCATCTTTGTTTCTTTTAACCCAGTGTCCATAAATCCTGTATGCACAGCCATCAATGAGCTTACGAATAGGTTTACTACCATAGGGTTCATTACAGAGAACATCAAATGACACTGGTAATAGCTTGGACTGCATTAGGTGTTGGAATTCTTTGGCAGCGACAATTGCAATAACAGCACCCTAGACAACAACAACATTAAATTCAATAATAAATATGAACCTACACAATAGAAAAAAAAAAAGAACTTAAAATTCAAAGGACATAAAACAGATGTCAAATTTAATATTTGCAAACACACACAAACATAACAACAACAAAAAATACGCAGTCAAAGACTGCATGTGGCTAGTGCTGGTATAAAGAAGGCTTAAAAAAATAGCAATTGACGACTGCATATGGCCTCTGTCATCTTTGTTTAAAATGTTGTGCGAGCATGAAATGCATGGCATGACAAAATCTTTGAAGAAGGCAATTTTATAACAATTTTATTTTTTAACACAAAACTGTAAATGTAATTATATAACTGTAGAGCATACAAAATTACAAAATTTCGTGTAAAATCTCTTGACGAACATGGCACTGTTCATGGTGATTTCATCATAAACTCTAACGGCAAATATATATCAAAATATACAACTGCATGGTATAATGCTATAAAATTTGCAAATAATCTGTAAATTTATTATAAAATACATCAGTTAAGAAACATGCATGGTTGTGTTGATGGTCATCAACACAAAACTGTAAACGTAATTATATAACTGAAGAGCATACAAAATTATAAAATCTCTTATAAAATCTCGACGAACATAGCACTGTGTTCATGGTATAGATTTCTTCAATAACCTGTAATAAAATTTGATAAATTGTAGTTATTGTTTTTCTCCTGAAAATTACTTGAACCAGGCTCAACTTCCATTAAAGTATTCATTGAAGTGCATGTGTTGTTTTCTTTTAATAATTCTGACTTAACATGACATTTATAAACAATTTATCCCACCATTAGTTGCTTCGATTATTGCTTTGTTTTGATGCTCCCGAGAGAGTACAGATTTTATAGGTTCCCGAAGGAACAATTGGCACCCACGAACGGGCAATATAGCTTCCCGGAGGGATTTCATAGCTCCCCGAGGGGATTTTATAGCTCACCGAGGGGATTTTATAGCACCCCGAAGGGATTTTATAGCTCCCCGAAGGGATTTTATAGCTTCCCGAAGGGAATTTGTTTGGCACCCGCGAACGGGCTTTTGGCTCTCTTTAAAGAGAATTTTGGCTTCCACATGAGAATGCAATTCTAGCAGCTTAAGGTCGCCAATTCGTACAGACAAGGACAGAATTTGGTAGGATAAACCGCTTGTTCACATCTCAACAGAATACGCTTCGATACTTCGCTTGTTTTAAGCTTATATACAGGTAAACACCTTAAACCGTCAGAAAACCTGGAAAAACTTTTAAAAGCAAACACTTCATAGAGGCATTGAAAGCTGAGCCTGGTTTTTGATGTAAAGTARTGTAAAAACATGACTTGAAGAATCAAAACTCACCTTTATAAATGGATTTGTTTGAGCAAAGAGTGAAGTCTGAGCACATGGCAAATTTTTCCTTGTCAATATTAATCCGGAGAACGCCCGGACATCCATCGGAAACGAATGACTTTGGCAGAGATAATTGAGGAGTCTGGTAATGAATTGGATGTGCTGTTGTGCATGTGCGAAGCTAGGTTACCAAGATCAGTAAGCTGAGACTTCATAGCATCCCACAAGGATGAGAAAATTTAGATGTTCTACTATAAATTGTTGCTAAAGCCGAGTAGTTAACGTAGAATATGTCGTTAAGTGCTCGGTAGSTCGACGGACTACTAAGTGAGGGGAGAGAGGGGGGGGCTTCCAAACATGCCCGAGGGACGGGTAGGGCGGGTGGATAGTGACGTTACTAGGCAGGGAACCCAGTAGTGTTAAGAATGCAGAAATGACGTCATTACACAGGAAGCCCAATTAACATACATTTGTATTTACGACGAATCATCGAACAAAAAGCGAGGTTATCCCGAATTACATTCACTCACACGCACGCACTACCAGGCGATAGCATAGTGGCTTGAGCCTCGTTCCGAGGCACTAGCCACAAAAACTAAACAAGAATGCTAAATAATTGTACTAAATTATGCAATTTCCTTTAATAAACCTAATCAGCTAACACATTGCTATAAATGTTTCAAGTTTCATTGT